TAACTGAGGTCTAGCAATCCCAGGGACTGGAGTGCTGGAGTGCTGCCCCTTGGCACACTCATGCAGCCACCTCCCAACCTCCCAGGGGATCAGAGGCCCACCTCATGGTGTCACACTTGCACCCAGTCACTCCTAAGGGATAGAGGGACTTGATAGACAGGTGCACAGCTTACCTGGGGAGAGGTTGGCCTGGATGTTGTTACCTGGGTCCATTTCTCAAATGTGCATGGGATTTCTGTGCACTTCCCAGGTGCAGTGCAAGGCTCCCTATCAGCCATGAGGAGACCACCTTCCTTTCCTTTGATGATGGGTGACGTGCGAGAGTCCTAGAAGCCGTGTGTCCTGGGTGTGCACCCTGCCTGTGGATCCCGCAGGAAGGTAAGCGTTCCTCTTTCCCACAATCTGTCATTTGCTTGGGGAGTTTGTCGATGTGCTAGAGGCAGCCTGTCCACGTGTCCACAGTGGCCTGTGGGGTTGAGCTTCAAGAGTGGATGGACTGTCCCTCTTGCTTTCGGACCCTGAGGTCATTGGCTCACGAGGTGAGCTGCCTCAACTGCCTCACCTAGACATCTGGCTTCGCAGAACGTGCTGGGATCGATGATGATTCCCCACAAAAAAACCAAACCAACATTCCTTGGGCTGAACAAAATGAGTGAGAACTACAACCGTCGTCGTTCTCATCGGTAACTGAGGTCCAGCACGTTCAGTGTCCCAAGACAGGAGGAGTGAGGGACAGCTTCCCCTTGTCACACTCATGCAGGCACCACCTAGATTGTTGGCACAGTTGCCTATCTGCCCACCTCATGGTGCCTTATACACCTGCAGTCACTGGTCAGGGATAGAGGTACCTGATAGACAGGTCTTACCTGGGGAGAATGTAGGTCTGGATATGGTTACCTGGGTCTATTTCTCAACTGTGCATGTGGTTTTTGTACACTTCCCAGGTGGAGTGGCCGTGTAGACTCACCATCAGCAATGAAGACACGACCTTCCTTTCCTTTGTTGATGGGTGGCGTGTGGAAGTCCTGGAAGCCTAGTGTCCCTGGGTGTGCACCCTGCTGGTGGATCCCTGACGAAGGTAAGCATTTTCCTGCTCCAAGTGGAGAAATTAATTTTCTGATTTGGGGAGTTGCTAGAGTCACAGGTTTGGGTGTTGGAATGGCACACGGGGTTTCCCTCCAATAGTGGACTGAGTATTCCTCCTGCTCAGTGTTGGGATCTGCATGCCTCACCCAATGAGCTGTAATACCGGCCTTGCTCACATTTTACACGTGCTCAGATCGATGATGACCCCAAAAATGCATTCCTTGGAGCTGAACAAAATGAGGGAGAACTCATACCGTCGTTGTTCTCATCAAAAACTGAGGTCCAGCATATTCAATGCCCCAGGGACAGGAGGAGTGAGGGACAGCTTCCCCTTGTCACACTTTAGGTTCTAGAGTGTCGGCACAGCTGCCTACCTGCCCAACCTCATGGTATATCACATGCGTCTGGAGTCACAGGTCAGGGATAGAGATACTTGATAGACAGGTCTTACCTGGGGAGAATGTTGACATGGATATTGTCACCTGGGTCCATTTCTCAACTGTGCATGTGATTTCTCTACACTTCCCAGGTGGAGTGGCCGTGTAGACTCTGTATCAGCCATGAAGAGAACACCATGCTTTCCTTTGATGACGGGCGGCATGTGAGAGTCCTGGAAGCCATGTATCCTGGGTGTGCACCCTGCCTGTGGATCCCGCAGGAAGGTAAGCGTTCCTCTATCCCACAATCTGTCATTTGCTTGGGGAGTTTGTCCCTGTGCTAGAGGCAGCCTGTCCACGTGTCCACAGTGGCCTGTGGGGTTGAGCTTCAAGAGTGGATGGACTGTCCCTCTTGCTTTCGGACCCTGAGGTCATTGGCTCACGAGGTGAGCTGCCTCAACTGCCTCACCTAGACATCTGGCTTCGCAGAACGTGCTGGGATCGATGATGATTCCCCACAAAAAAACCAAACCAACATTCCTTGGGCTGAACAAAATGAGTGAGAACTACAACCGTCGTCGTTCTCATCGGTAACTGAGGTCCAGCACGTTCAGAGCCCCAGGGACAGGAGGAGTGAGGGACAGCTTCCCCTTGTCACACTCATG